GCATATTAATTTCGTGTACATTTTTAAACATTTGACAGCCCGTTGGACAAACGGTCTAGATATTATACGTCTATGAACACTAGAACGGATTTTCATACAAAATAACATTTTCCAAAGTAATTCATAAAGACAGGAGCAAATATAAAAATTTATTTTTCCTCTTAAGTATCTTATTGGGTCGAGACTAAAATAGAAAACTCATTCTAACCGATTTCGTGTTTTATTCTACTTAACAGATGCAGTAAATTCATAAAATTCGCGGTCTAATGATCACAGAAAGATGATTGCTTGTTTTCTCACCGATGGTTTGTCATCTCGTTCCAACGGAATGTCCACGCTGAAGAATTAATTTCCCCGGTACATCAGCGCGAGCGTCGAAGTCACAATAAAAATATCATCGGTCCGCGGTCACGCGTATCGATTCCCTACCCCCTACACGCGGACGTATAACGTCGCAGCCGTGTCGGTTCCGCGCGATAGTACATCACTCAGGGATGTCACAGCCAGGGGTTGGAGGGCGGGGTTACGACGTTCTGGGTTTCCACCAATTTGGTGACGTTCCAGCATCCGCGTAGGCAGCCACCGTTGCCGTCACGGCCCCGAAATTTATTGCGGAGTAACACGCGGGACGAGGCGCTGTAAATAATATGGAAAACCGTCGCGGAGGACGTAAGGATCGGATGTTCGGTGGGGCACGGTCAGGAGGGCCGAGGATACGTGAAATAAAAGGTGTATCAGCGTGGGGTGATAGGAAAGGTGGTAAAAGAGGGGGTGGGTGCTGGATGGGATATGGAAGTAAGCAAACGTGGAAAGAGGGTGTTCCCTTAGCCCCCTACCTCACTCCCTGGTATGCAGAGGATGACTGGAGGTGCCATATTTCAATGCGGTAGCGTCCTCCGAGGAGCCGTAAATACCTTAATAGTCATAACGTGTATCCGTATACGACTGCTATACAGAGTTCTCTCTTGCTACCTACCCCCACCCTCTTTCATCCCTCTTCCTCGATGCATTCGAACGTTCTACGACCGTCTCCGTCGCGAAATGACACGGCCCTGGACAGCCGTTTCCTGGTGCACGGTGGCGTGATGAGAGAGGACCACGGAGCTTTACCGTTGTGAACCCGTTATGGTCCCACGATGAAATTTTGTGACGTCGAGAAACCGCTGGAAATTGGCACCGCCACGATGCAACGGGAATTGTACGGCGGCGGGTAAACTCGTTGGAATTGCGCGGGGAATCCGCGTTCTCGACGGTTCGATGCAGAATCGTCGGGACGATGTCTGAAACGCGGGGACGGAAATTGAAGGACCTTGGAATCCTTCCTGGGAGGATTACAGCCGCCGCCGCACGGGGGTGAAGTTCGGTCGACCGACCTCGTTGCGGATGATGAGAATCGGGGAAATATAGAACGGGATCTGATCAATGTGGCTAAACGAGGATGATATTACATCGTTGGTTTAGACGATTTCGATGAAACGGTGGAGTTGCTCGGTGAATTTTACCGAATGTCCGGAAATTTCTAAATCATCTGATTCTAATACTATATTATTTAAATATTTTAATACACGAAAAATGTCTGACTCAGTCCACTTCTTTTAAGTCCGTGTTGACACTCATACGTCCTAAACTTAATAGTTAACAAGATATTTAAAAAATAATTACTATCTGGAACTGATGCCCCTCGAATTCAATACAGTGATAATTTTGTAAACACCTCGTTAACTATTTTAGATCGTCTGAAGGCGAACACATTGTTACTCAGAATGTGATAATCTATCGATCTACGGTACAAAAAATAGGTCATTCCGTTAAAAAAACATCAAGGTGACCATGAAATTTTTGAAATGCCTCCACCCACAAAAAAACACGTACCTTATAAGATGTACCCCATGATACCATTTAAATTCCACGCCTCGAACTCATCATAAATTATATCGTTAAGTCATTATTCATGGTGATCGAGTTATCTGAGACACCCTGTATATCGAGTCACGGAGCCACGAACGAAGATTCTCGTCGTACCTGTCGCCCGTGGAGAATGAACAGGCCTCGATAAATCTGGCCTACGATACGCGCTCCCGATAATCACGTCATTACTCCGAACAAATAAACGGCCAAGCAGACACAGCCGCTCGCGCTATTTAATAATGAGACTCTCTCTATTACTCAATGGCTATTAGATAGGGGAGAAGAGGGGAGGGGGTGAGTTTCGGTTCCACTCCGTTCACGGTGCAATCGGTTAATCACCGTTCCTCTCATCCCCATTCCTGAGACACGATTTAAGCGGCAGCTCGTGCCCCCCCGCGGGATCCCCTTCCATATCAATTAATCTTACCCAGAATGCAATAACTGTCCAATCTGCCCTCGTGGCTGCGTCATGGTGTCGTGCAGTCAGTGCCGTAACGTTGTCTCTCTCCTCGTTCAACCCCAGCGACCGAACGGTTCGTCTTTCCTCCCGTCTCCACGTCCGTTTTTCCTCCCCGTCGATGTCCTTGGGTTGCTTCGCGAGACAGCAGTCCCGTGGAAGGTCCTTCGGAACGAGCCACTCCGGAAAATCTCACGTCGGGAACCCTGCCCATCCCGACACTGACCGAAATAATGAGAACTGCACGGAGAGCTCACGGATAAAGAGGGTGGCGACGAGAGGGAAGGGGTGGGGCGAGCTCGAACGAAACTCACCGGAAAACATATTGGGCCGTTAAGGGGTTCGCCGTTAAGGGGTAGTCTGCTTAATTGGCAGGGCCGTTTAACCCTGAATTACACCCAGAGAGAGACTCACGGAGCCGGGAACGACCGTGATCCGATGCTACCAGATTCCTGGTCAATGATTAATCGCGTGCAAGGTCGACGACACCGTGTTCCTCTGCGCAGTTAATATTGTTGATTCTCGCTGTCGGTGATAATTAAGCGGGATTCCTATTGACAATGAATAATACTAGTTATTTTATTGTGGTTGTAAATAAACCCTCAACAATCTGGTGTCTCACTGAAAGTACTCAATATTGTAATTAAATAAAGTAACGTGATATAAATTATTATAAATGTTATAATATAAATTTCTGTATGTACATTAACTTGAAAATGTGTCTGTCGGACACAATTGAGTTGAGAAGGGTTAGAATAGAAATTGTGGGAGTATTGAGAGGTCCATTACTATACATATACGTATAATGAAAATGGAGCATTTTCAAAGTGCTATTCTCTGAAGAAATGAATTTGGAAATAGTGGAAATTAAAAGAATGGATTTGAGAAAGTCGAAGAGATATTCCTTGAGCGTAGAGATTGAGGCAATGAATTGAGAGAGTCCTAGATTAAGGATTGAAATAGATTCTTTTTTATTCAAATAACGATTATATATATACCTATATATACTTCGTCGAATTGACTTGTGGTTCGATCCAATACGATTCTCGAATGAAAGGGGGTTGATCGTGTCACTGAGAGGCGAGTTACAAATGGTAACAGCATTTATTAATAATAATAATTAATAATAATAATGACAATAATATTAATAGCGAGTCTCTAATTACAATAATTACATAATGATAGTAATGGTACAACAATAAAAACTTTCGTGTAGCGAGAAGAGAGGAAGAATACAATTACTTGGCGAGACCTCCGGAGGAGATTTCGGTCACCCTCGTTAGAACAAATCGGTCATCTAACGCGTGTTTCGTCTCTATTTATAATATTTATAGCCTCGATTTTCGAATTTATATTCGTATTTATATTATGTATATATTTATACGCTTAGGCTAGGCGAGAATACGGTCTATGTGCTATTTTATTTACAAGGTCTTTTTTGGTCACAGTTGCAACTTTGGGATGGGTGATGGCCCTTTCTTGAACGATAAGGTGCGGCAGATATGCAAAATACAGTACGCTCCTCGTACTTTATTACACGATATCCTTTAACCACGATCAAACGAGCACAATTCGAGACTTACCTATACACTATGTCAAGGAATAAAATCAACCGAATCCTTTCCTAAAATTTACGTAAAATTGCAGCACGCCAATTACATGGTGATCCCATTAAGTACAATTTAGAAACATTTACACTCGATTAATCGTCGCGAAAGGCCTCGTGTAAACGTCTACTTAATAAGAGAAGTACAATGATTATCGATATTTAACGAACGATTCAACATGGAATGCAGCGTCGCGAAACAAAGAAATCCTTCCGAACTTGGACATTCCAGATCGTTAACCCCTAGCGTTGACGCTTAACAATTAACTGCTTGAGTATTCCAATTAATCAGAATTTCCTTCTCACTGGAAGCATACTTAATAAAACATTTAAATAATATTACATCGATGCCGTGATCACATTAACACAACGAATAAAACAGAAAAATGTCCCCAGGACATTCCAACTTCGAAGGGGTTAAAACGACAGTAAATCATCGATGAATGTTTGAAGTCTCCTCGGCACTGACAATGAAAGGTCCCCAGGTGTAACGCTGTCTTTTTAACGAGGTGTAGCACAGTGATACAATGAACTATTTAATATTCACTGCAGAGGAGACTTCGAACACTCACCGATCATTTACTGTATCCAACTATCTCGTGAAAAATTCGCGAAAAAACGTATCGACGTGTTCGTACTCGCGTGTGTATATGATTCGCCCAAGAAAAAGGCTCGTCGAAATTCCATGCACTTCTACACTTTCTTATGGAATGTACAGCTTCGATAACAATCACGCGTATTCCTTTACACGCGCTTGTCTCTTGTGGTATGTTTTCGACTCGTTCTGCGCGGAGAGGGAATAGGAGGGGGTAACGAAAACGTGTCGGAATGTTGCGTTCCAGGCGTCTCGATGCAGCCGTTGCACACGAACGAGTCGTTAAATAATAAATACAGTGTCCGTGCGCGCGAATTTACACTATTCGATTGGGGAGTGGGGGGAAAGTTCACTTCGACCGAGGTGGCAGACGAGATCGCTCGTCGAAGATCGTTCGTCGATTGCACTTTTGCCGCCTGGGTAAGGAAACCAGGCGGTCGAAAAATTCGATCTAACCCTCGCGGAGGGGAGGTTTTCACAGTTTCCTCGAGGATCGTTCGAGGCTCGTTCACTGTATCATAGGCGGATTGCCATTGGGCAGAGAATTTTGTCCAGAGATCGAGCCGATCGGGGCTCGCTGGGAGGCGTTCAGATCCGCGTGTTGGGTCTCCCGATGCCTTCTCAGATCGACCTTTCGCTGGAAAGCTCGACCGCAGAGCTCGCAGGCGAAAGGCTTGAACCCGGTATGCTTTCTCGAGTGCGTGATCAGGTTACTGCTCTGGGAGAACGCTTTCCCGCATACCTGACACTTGTGCGGTTTCTCGCCTGAAACAGAAACGGGGAACAGTCTATCAGATTTACCGTCCATACAGAATCGTCGTTACCGTGCTTTCTAGTAAACGTATGTTCCACTATATGTACTTATTTTGCCAAAATAGTGTTATTATACAAACGTGTTTAAATTATATTAAAAATGGGAAGCTGATATATCGGCTCAGAGGTATTAAAAGGGTTAAAATAAATTTAGCCACACCCCATCCTTCCCCCTGATAACCACAAATCGAAAAGTTGACTGTATATAAAAATTACAAACTAAACAGAGACCTGACATACGGTGCCGCTGATTATGAAAGCGGTGTCAATCAAGAAACCAAAAAAATCTGGTTTTTCTTTTATTTTATACTATATCGATTGATATGTCAATATTACGGAGAATTTCCGAAACCAAAAATACATGATTTGCACCACTTTCATAATCACCAGCACACACGTATATATAAATGAAAATCTGTAAGAGCTATAAACTATCCGCAAGTAGACCGTAAGTAGAACAACGAAAGAACCATACCGCCCCCATAAACACCCGCAGACGAGAGGCCCCATGGCGGTTCTCAGTCGATCGAAATCTCTCCACCGACAGGGCAAGCCATTCCCTCGCCTCAGGCTCACGGGGGGGTGCTTAGCCGGCTGGCTGGCGATAGCGGCCGCGAGTACAGACCTGGGAAGCTCGTCCGAACCTCCCGTGGAAGGTGGAGGTGTTTCGTGATAGGGGGGAGGAGGATGGAAAGAGGGTGGTATCAGGGATGCGGGGCACGCCCGGTCAAGATTTCCTCCCAAGCGAGAATCTCAGCCTCCCCGGCGGCGGCGAGGCAGAGAGGAAAGAGGATGATCGCGACGGGAGGGAGGAGGAGGGTTGCGACTGGCAGGGGGCCGGCTCGGGTGGGGTGAGGCAGCTGAGGGGGTGGGCTGGGGGAACGGGTAGGTTAGCCCCGTTCGTTTCTCCGTCGGTGGCCGCGGATTCTGATTGGCGGCCGGGGGCGGCTCCAGCCCCCGTGTTTCCATGACTACCGGCGGGATAACCCGGCGGTCGACAGTGAAAGAAAGAGAAAGAGGGATATTCACCGGGGGTGGGTGGGTTCGGGTGGGTGAGACAGAGAAAGGGGAGATCAAATTGAGGCGGAAGAAGGACGGAGCAAGGGGGAGGGAAATGATTTTTAGGATGGAGAGGGTGAAACAGTCAATCGGATAGTCGACGGGGGTTGAAAAAGGGAGACAAAAAGCTTACCCCTCTCCCTCCCGCAGGAAGAATTTCGTGAACGAGGGAGATAGAGCGCGGTTAGGGCGATTGAAGAGGGAGGAGGAGCTGACGGCGATACGAACTATGTGCTAGGCGGAGGGCAACGGAGCGCCCTCCCCCCCGCCCGCCCACCCCCCGTTAATGGACTCCCCTGGACGCTCTCTCGTATATACTACACATCGTCCGCTGGCTACACGTTTGTCCAAGTGTTCCACGCCAGAGGCAGGGTCTGCACACACACACACGGCCGAGATCAACGTGAGGCGGTGGGTGGATCCATAAACAACTCGTTAGCCGAGCCTTCAATCTCGCCCCGCGCCGATACTACCGGCGATCGCCTTTGCGATTATACCCGATCGTTATCTTGATTTCTTTTCGGATAAACTGCTCCACGTTTTGATTTCTTCCGTTTCGTTCTATCGCCGTGAATATTTCTGTACGTTGGAGTTCTTTGGTGCGAAGCGAACTTCGATTTCCCCTTGGAAAATGTAACGATAGAAAGTGGTGTCTTTTAGGGATTTATGGATATTCTATTCTTTTGGTGAATTTTTTTCGGCTAATTTAGAACCGGGGATATTATCTTCTTCTGGGACAGAATTTTTGCTATTCCATGAAATTCTTGGATAAAAGTATTTTAGATTACTAGACTTGGGTTGTTAATGCATTGATGGTATTTCCTTATCTGATGAACACACTAAAATTATTATTGACATATTGAAGCTTCTAGTACAGAGAATTAAATTCTGTATAAATTTTATTTTCTTATATTACCGTCTAAAACTGTCTATTTGCATAAACGTCCGCCATAGTAGGTTTTCCGTGTATTTGACGGTGAAATTTCGACGAAAATTCTACGGGAAACGACGGTTCGAGAAAGCCGCTGCATTCCAGGACGGTCGGAGGCCAACTGGCGGAGTCGGAAACGGCATCGAGCAATTTGAATTTTCGGACGGTGGAACAACCGCAACGATTTCAGAACATTTCAAATCGAGATTCAAGGGAGGATTCAGGGTTAAGGGTGAGTCGCCAAGGGCGTGCTGCTGGAATTCGTCGGGGCCGCCGCTCGATGAAATTCCACGGAGTTCTATCTCCCTCCCTTTCTCTCTCAGTGCCCAGATGAAACGGCAGAATGAATAGAATTTTCACGGCGTTAAGCGAGAAGCTGGAAAACCAGCGAGAAATGAGAGCAGAGAGAGCAAAGGTACCGTAAGGTGGGGCCGTTTGAAATTTACGCGGCAGTAAAATCAAAAACTTTCCTCCTCCCCCCCGGCCGAGGTTGCCTCTTCGATCTGAAACGGGTGTCTCTTCGAAAAATCTGACGAAGCACTTACATCCTTCGCGAAATAAAACATCTAAGATATAAATATCGTTGTGGAAACCATCAAAATAAATATACAAACATTGTAAATTATCTAAGCATTCAATTCGAAAGGAATTCCAATTGTTCAATTACAATGATTCTTTCACAATGTACAGTAAATCCTCGGTGAGTTTTTGATTAGTTTGAGATTTTTTAATGAGGTTTCGCACAGAGCTTGGAATTCTGAAGCCAGTGATATTTGTTTTAGCCTCATATGGTCATTAGTTGATGAACTATTTAATGTTTAGTGCCGATTCTGATATATATGTTGTACCTCGTTATTTTGAAGTGGAAAATATCGATATTAAACAGACCTATTTTTAAACCTTTTTAATAACAAATTACCCGTGGCCAGCCGTTTAGAAAAATTAAAAAAAACTCACCAGAGTTGTACACAAAATGCTACAGTCAATTCTATATATTCCCATTCAAACCGTTTCGATTAATTCAACTGAAACAGTGTTCTACTTCGAGTATTCGACTCCATTTTAAAAAATTCCTCCACGACCGTCCGACCTCGTAAATATTCCCCCGAATTTCAGGTTCACGGCACGGGAGGACATCGAACGCGGAGGAAGCTCAGTATCCACGAGAGATCGCGTGGAGGAAAAAGATGGCGAGCGGAGGCGAGTAGGGAGGACGTCTTCCGGAATTTACGTGCCCATAAAAATCAAGAACCGTCGGAGCTCTCGCACCGAGGTTGCCCTTTCCGTCTTTATCTCGACGGAAAAACCCAGCCACCGTGGCTCCTTCGCCGTTCACATCGGTGCATTCTACGTTCTCCTCGTTGCGCGCACGAAGAACAGCGCGGGAAGGTGGGGTTGTACACCAAGACGTATAGGGGTGGCGTCGTTCATGCAACTACGTGGTTCCAAACCGAGAGGAGATCTGGTCAAAGATTTAACCAGCTTCAGTACAGATTCCGTGCTCTCAATTTTTCAGGTGGTAGCTGCTGGCAAACAGAAGCGATGCGACCAGGCTGGAGGCCCGACGAGATGAGAGCCCCTGAGGTTTAAGACGCCATTACACCCCCTGCGCTGTCGGCCGACGCCCCTAAAACTATATTAAACTCCCGGAAATCTTGCGAGGCTCCTCTCTCTCTCTTCTTCGCTAATTCCCTCCCTGCTTCGCGTGCCCTCTCGCCCCCTGCCCACTACAAACATCATCCACCCCCTTCTTCCAGTGATCCTTCAACCCTCCGTGCACGACTTCGGGGCAACTCTCGAGAGCGGAGAAACCAAGACGGCAGTTTGATCACTTCCGCCGTCAGGACGGAACCGTCCTGATATCGACGGAAAGAGAAATGTTATACTTCTCTTTTCTCGTCGAGTTTCCCAGATGGTTATGGGAATGTTATTGCGGGGGTCGGGTTGAAGGATGCTCCTCGATGATTAACTGCGTCTATGGGACGCCCTGAGAGTGGAGTAGGTTTAAATCAGACGTGGGAAATGTTGGAACAGTTATACATATGTAGGGTAATTTTAGGGTAATTTTACAATATGGAATACTGAATATATTATGTGTGTGTGTGGTATAGAAATTTTGTGAACATCGCACACTGGTCCAAAATAAAAATTTAGTACCAACATAAACAAATTTCTTTTATCTTCCAAAAATAGGACATCAACTTATTAGGGATTAACCATGGAAGATTTGTTGTATGCATTATTGTTCTCCTCGAAGTCTTTCGTATCATGAATCTCAAGACAAGAATAGAAATAAAGTTCTCCACGAAAAATTTTGACTTTCTTCGAAGAGGATCCTCAAAATGAATAAAAATCTGTACAACTATCTACTTCTATTTGAATAATATTATATGTTCTTATTGAATAAAATTGTTTCTACATATTCCCGTTACCTCTGATTCAATCGTCCTATCTTAATGAATCCAATCGCGTAAAGATGAAAGTTTTTATCGTTAGTTTGCGAGAAATATTCTTTCTTCTTGTTCTTCTTTCTTACGATGGTTCCAAGGAGTTATCACTGAACAAAACTCGGAATTTCAACGGAGGAGAAACGAGCCAGAAGAGGGAGAGACGAAGGTGAACCGGACTCTGGCCGAGGCATTGATTTCCTCTCGTCTTCATCGACCACGTTCCGACCCTCTTGGGGGGAGGGCGTCCCGACCCTCTAACTGAAATCCTCGCGAGAGAGCGAGGCCAGAGAAAGAGAAAATCGAAGGAGAGCACCGTATCTCATATTTCATAACGGGGGCAGCATGGATTTTCTTGCGCGTCTGCAAAGCTCCGCGTAAGCGTTACATCCCTCCACACCCCAGCCGATGTCAAGCGGATCTTTCCCGACGAACCCCACTTCTGTCACATGAAACAGAAACAGGAATCCAGGTGCCTTCATTCGGAAATCCTTCCCTCGTTCTTTCTACCGATC